TTTTATTCTGTGGTTCCCATACAGGTAGACAAGAATAGAATTCAAATCCACACAAACAGGACATCAGAAGTTAGTTTTCAGTCACATTTATTACTTGTCTTAATTTAGGTTTCTCCAGAAAGACCCTGAGACAAGGAAATACCAGGGGCCAAAAAGAAATGAGGGAGGGGAAGTTAGCCAGTGAAGGATGTGTTTGACTCCAGTTGTCATTGTGGGCAATTACAGCTTACTCTTACAAAGAAACTTGGAGAGATACTCAAAATGTGATGATGTGTGACTGTTTGGGACTGGTCCAGGAGGAAGAATACACAAAAATTTAAAATATTTAGACACTTTTATCACAGTTTGACATTTTTGTGGCATCCATTTTTTAACAATTATTTATTTGGCATGATCACAACAGTTGTGATTCAAGGTATCCTCCATCTCCTGGGCTCAGGTAATTCTTTCCCCTCAGTCCTGAGTATCTGGGACTACAAGGATACACCACCATGTTTTGCAAATTTTTTTTTTTTTTTTTGAGAGACAAGGTTTTGAGGCTCTAGGCTGGTCTCGAACTCTTGGGCTTAATCAATCCACCCACTTTGGCCTCCCAAAGTGCTAGGATTACAGGAGTTAGCCGCCGAGTCTGGTTTTATTATTATTTTTTTTAAAGTACCGATCCATGTTGGAGTGACAACAAAATAAAATAAAATACAGTTCAAAAATAGTGTAGAACACAAGGCCCAAAGAGATTTTATACAAGGAGCAAGGTAGCTGGGGTATTTATCTCTCACTGCCCATCTAGCTAGTATGTGGTTGTGACACATCCAAGAGTGTTCATTCTCCTGCTTTTCTTTTCTTTTTTTGAGTTGGAGTCTCACTCTGTCACCCAGACTGGAGTGCAGTGGCCGCTCCCAGCCATCGCAGCCTCGACCTGCAGGGCTCCGGCGATCCTTCTGCCTCAGACTTCTGAGTAGCTGGAACTACAGGTGCGCGCTACCACACCTGGCTCATTTTGATTTATTGTAGAGATGAGGTCTCACCAAGTTGCCCAGGCAGGTCTCGAACCCGTGGGCTCAGGCAATTCACTCACCTCAGTCTCCCAAAGGCGCGGGATTACAGGCTGAGCCACCTAGCCCGGCTAGGAATTTCATAAAATTAAAAAATTAATTCAAACATCATCACAACTCTATAATCATTTCAGTGATGAGTTAAAAGGTAAACAAGCATTCCTTTGCTGTCTGCTATTAAAAGGATAACAGAAAGTTAGGATTAGACTAAGCATAGATAAAATGTTTCATTCAGAAGAAACATTTTCTACTGAGGAAGCCAAAGATAAGAGCCCTTTCCCCCCATTTCTCCACCCCCAGGAAGCCAGGGTACTGACATGTGACTAAAATTCTAAAAAGTGGACATTCTCAACCAGGATTCTGAATCCTGAGCAAGTGGCGCAAAGTGAAGGGAGGTTTAGAACTAATTATTTTGAGTTGGACACTTATTACTGCTTATGCTGCCCTTGTTTTCTGGCCTTTGTTTATTCTTGGTCTCCCATCTTCTTCTATTTCTGTGAGCTCCCATTTTTTCCCCCAACAATTTCTTTTCTTTTTTTAACTTACAAAAGCCATGATTTGACTATATTACTTGAAACCAAAAGTCATCATGATATGAGTGGCTGAGGAGAATGAGAGCTCTGATTCATGCTTGCTCAGTAATTCCCTTGAAGAAGTGAGGTCAATCTCTTTGCCAATCTTGGTCTCAGTTTCCACATTTGTTAAATGGGACTAGTTCAGCAATTTGCTTCAAGGAAAATTAATCTGTGAAATGTTCTCTGAATAGAGGGTTCTTCCTTTGGAGAATCTAACTGCATGTTGGCCTGTTGCGTTTCTGAAAATTCCTCCAGTAAAGAATTTAATTTTACTTTCACTAGGCATTTCCCAAGCTTAATCATGGAAGTCTGGTTTCAGAAAACAGCATTTCATAGAATGAGTCATTCATAGAGTATCTTGACAGGAGACACTGACTCCAGCAGTTCATTTTTCTTTAAATATGCACCTGACACTGGACTTCGTCAATAAACACTCATGAGGCCTTTGAAGAATCTGTGTTAACCCATTACAAGAGGAGGCTCTTAAACTTCAGTTCATATAAGATCCATTTGGGGAACTTGTTATAATACAGGTTGCCAAGCACCACCCAAGCCCTAGCAATTCAGAGTCTGCTAGAATAAAGACAAGGAATTAGACCTCTGAACGATAAAGGTGATTACATCATAGGAAGTTTTCAGTCCACATTATGACACTGTATTATGTAATACTTCAGTGAAAAGTATCTTCCAGCGGCTTCATCTCTATCATTGGAAGATGCTAGAAGTCATAGTCACAAAAATATATCCCACTGGTCCGACCATTCATCGTCTTCTGAGATGTCTCAGGCAAACTCATAGACAACTTGTGAACATCCTTTCAAAACCTACTGAATAGCTCTGATCGCAACTTCAGAAAGTTATGATATTAAAATTTGAGTGGGTCTTTAGCTGCAATCATGAGGTCAATAATTTGGGCAAAACTAGTTAAAATCGGAATCATTGCAGCGGAACATGATGGCTTGCACCTGTAATCCCAACTACTCAGAAGGCTAGGATGGAAGGATTGCTAGAACCCAGGAGTCAGATGCTATCCCGAGCAATTAAAAAAAAAAAAAATTAGCCTGATGTCTCTCTCACTCCTGCTGCCTACCTATAGCTTCTTCATTCATTTCCACCATAAGCTGCACTAATGAGAAATTAAGCTTAAAAGTATGGGAAGAAACCTAAATTATCTAATTTTATGACTTATCAGCAATTCAAATAATCTGATGATAAGAAAGCTGGAATGAATAGCAGAAATGTTACTTTTAGATTAACTGTGAATTTCGTTTGCTCTCTTTACCACAGATGATGAAAAGTTAGTTGTCAGAACTTTCTTTTTTTTTTTTTTTTTT